ACTTTGCGGTTAGTCTAATGTTTCATATTTGCATTGAACTGCATATGGAAAGGACGTTGAACTAAACAATAAGTAAAGAAAGAAATAATGAAAGCTTTTACTAAATATAAAGGAAAATAATTCCCATCATAAAACACAGATCTTTGTAATATGATTTTTTATTTTATATAAGGTATTCATTGAACACATTATAATAATCAGTGTAAGAATGTAATGTATTTTAACAAATAATAAAATTATCAACCCATGAGAAATTATTAGACAACAGTGTCCATAGCTAGTTACATTTAAATATATAAAATTTTTCCTTTATATTTTTACATTCTAACTCTTCTTTCTTTTTGGTTGCGACAACTTCCTAATCAACAATATTATTTTATCAAATCGATCTCCACAGACGCCCACACCTGTTCCTATCCATTTAACCCGTTAAGCCAATTATGCTGGCTAATAAAACTAATAAATCAAGCCGAAATTAACGCAACCTGCACTCGCCGTACTTTTTACGAAACACGTTAACCCTTTTTGTCGTTAGAGGCCGCAGTCATATGAAAATGACATTAGCGGAGCGCCAGACCGCGGCTAGACAAAAAGCCAGACGCAACATAAAAAAAAAAGAAGAGGAGGGAGGTCTGCTGAGCGGGGCTCCCAAAGGTAGTCTGTGCGAATGGGCCTTCTCGAGAACACGCAAAACCACTCTTAACTCGTTTACTTTATTTATGGCCATAATTTGTTTAGCAAAAGGTCGAAAACTAAACGCAGAACTCAGCCAAACGGCCAAAAGGGCGCAGCTGGCTGAGGAAGTGGAAACGCGGCAAGGTGCGATGCATAATTAAGATAATAAAATATTAATTAAAATTAGGTCCATGCATATGCAAACACGGAGGAAGGGGGGACAAAGAACCAAAGAAGGTGGAGGAGACAAATATTTGCATGAGCTGCCATGATAATGACGTTGATTAGGACGATGACGTTGCTGTTGATAGCCTCGTTATTGGCCCGCCGACTTGCCTTTAATTAATTAATTAAAAATGCAGAGCAAACTTTGGCTTTGTCTTTGTTTTATGCAAATTTTCATATGACCAAAGCCAGCACCTGCAAAAAAGCAGGCTGGTAAAATTAATGCAAAGCCCCAAAGGGTTTGATGGCCGCCGGGGATGGCAAAAACGATTTAAGGAATGTCCATCAAAATTGAGAATAATTTAAAATACATGCTCTACAATATGGGGTAACATAAAAAAACCAAAATTTAAATACGATTGCAATAGAAAAGTGTTACTGAATGTAACATTTAAATGAATGTATTTGTTATATTATTAAAATATTTTATAAAATATATTAAAGTTACTCTGCTTTTAAATTTGAAAGGGTATTCAAAATTGCAGTTTTCCAAACTTCAAAATTCTTTGGCTAATTTTCGGCTTTATTCGGTCAAGTTAACCCTTGTTGGCTAATGGAAATCCGATGTTTACCTTTAGGCTTAGGGCGTGTTTGAAAACAAAAAAAAAATTTGAGATATAACCGCAAAGCGCGAAATCTGATACATTCGGTTTTGGCTCTGCCTCTTTGCATAATTTATTTGACTCCGGCTTTCATTATCGGTGTGCTTTTTTCCAGAGTGCTTATGGATAATTTTTGGTTTGGGCCAACCGCTTAATCACCATCACCTGACACATGTGGGCAACTAATTTGTGAATATTTCTTCCCTGGGCAATTGGGAATGTCAAGAGGAATTGTTTTTGGGGATTGGAGCCCGAGAGTTGGGATCGAATTTGAGTTTGAGTTTTTGGAGTGAAAGCGAAAGCAATCTACGGGTTCGGTAGACCAAAAAACATTTGACACACGCATGTGGCGACCCTTGCTCCCATGATTGATGGGTGACCCCGATTATCCCCTCTGCCAACTTTTTGTTGCGTTGCATTAATTAACTAATTTAATTTTGGTTTTATTTTTTCAGGCATTTGAATTGAGTTCTCGTTTCTGAGTTGGGAAATTTATGCAGACCCACAAATGTATTTCGGGCAGGTTTTTTTTTTGCGTAGCAATGGAAGGGCCTTATCGCTTGGCTTTCACTCATTTCCCACTCCGCCCTTTATTTTCATAATTTACGCATGCCGGGGGCGTGGCTCGTCGGTGCCAGTGCATTTGATGGACCCTGATGGATTTTGACAGCGCAACAGAGGGGCAAAATAGCCAGATTGGCACCATAAATTCATCCGTCCGGGCATTTTAAAATGCTACAGAATTTTCCACGCGTCTCGGACGTATTTATTTGCATTTATAATGATGTCCGGTTGCCCCGTGTTCGCATTTCCCACTCCTCTAATCCCCAACTAGCCGTTTGAATTGGCAAACAATCAATTTTTAGTGGATCTCCGGCCATTTCGATAGGGACATGAGCATAATGTGAATGCTAGTGTTCTCTTCCTATCATTATGATGAATGCAATTTGTGGCTGACAAATGGACGAATTTTGCCTAGACCATGGGATTTATGGTTATTCTGACTGATAGGAAAAATGTTTATGGGTAGTACTTCTAACAAAGCTGGTCGTACACTTTATTTATAACATTTTGTGTAAATCAAAAATCAAATAAAAAAATTAGCAACTAGTTTCGCCATTGAAATCTTGGAAAAAAAAATGAACAGGGGTCAACATTTTAACCATCTAAAAATGGAAAAAATGAAATACAGTTTTATCAAGGATGCGATTACAAACGTTTAGAGGTATGCCACTTTGATTAAAATTGACAAAGTTATAGGTTTTGGAAGTTCAGTTTCGAGGAAATCCTTTACTTAAAGATGCAACGTTTTTTGCACTAACTTCATGTCGCCTTTCCTTTGAAAATATTTTTGTGCAGACTGACATTCTTTTACCTGCTTGATATTTTTGCCAAAAATATTTCATAATTTTCTGGCTTTGCTGCTGCCTCCCGGGGCTCACCCAATTAAATTTGTGAATTTTTGCAAAAGCCAAACCAAAACATTTCCGACCAAAAGTGGCCGACAAGAGACAATGACAAGGATGTCAACGTTGCCGCCTTTTTAAAACGCAAATTCCATGAAAGCAGTCAGCATGTCAACGTTTTGGTAGCCGTGTCTGGACCAGGTCCAAAACTTGTTAGTACGAGGGGCGGTCGTGGGGGGCTTAGAAAAACATGAAAAATTTAAACAAGCCGGCGAAGACGAACATCCAACACTGGGATCGGTTCGCTCTGTGTTTTCGTCTGTCTGCAAAAATTGCAAGTGACAGGCAATTCATCATTCATTTGGTTTTAGACTTGACTGACTGACCAGCTTCGGTTCTGGATTGGTCCTGGATTCGAGAGCGATTCGGGAGCTGGGGAGCCGCCTGGTCAGGCATCCCGAATGGTGGGGCGACTCCTTTTTTGTCTGTGGCATGCAATTTTATGGCCAGCAAACTTTTAGCATAGCCATCGCTTTGACAATTTAATGCATTTAAAGCTTTACAAGAGCAGGTCCTAGGCAGCCCAGCACGCATCCTCGACCGCCCATGGTAAATGGCTACAGTGGTTGTTATATTCGTTTTGGTATTGAAAAACAAATTTCCAATAGTATATTAAAAAAAAAAGGTCCCAAAAAATACTTATAAAAAATGTAAGCAATCTTGAATGTTCCTATTATAAATATTAACTACATAATATGAAGCATTGTGTAGATCATAATTGAATTAAATTTATTTTTCTTTTTTAAGAGTTATAGTTTTATTATATTTTTATTTACATCCTTGCTCCACTTACTTTTGTAATTTTTAATTATTCAAACCTTTAACATAATATTAAACTCCCATGGTTAAGGATCTCGTAAGTCCGAACCCAAAACTGAGCTTTCGAAATGGAACATTTTACTTGAGGAGCAATCAAGGCCACCACTTCTTCACCCACAGATTGCACCACTTTGCTGGGCGACGCCACCCACTGTGCCGTCGACTAGGGTTTCGGTCTTTGGGAATTTTAAATTGTTTTAATGCGTGCGTTCGGCATCCTGAGACCGGACCACGCCCCGTCTCGTCGTCTACGTCTACGGATGATGTCGTCAAAGTGGAGGAGCCTGCCCCAACTGCCTCCTCCTCCACCTCCATCACCGGCTCCTGCAGGATCAATCAATTTTTTAGCACACTCGAACAGTGGAACTGGAACCCAAACCGGGGCCTGATGAAGTGCGGCCTGTGGGACCGGGAGTCTGAATCTCAAAAAACTGTTTAATATGCAGCGAGTGACACCGCCGAGCGCGATGACATTGAGCAACTGCACCAATTTCAGAGTGAGCCAGAGGTGGTGTCTCCTCCCCGCGGACTGCATCCAATCCCATCCATCTTTTGTCGGTTGACTGCAGTTCATAAATTTTTAAACGCTCGCCGGCGCGAACCAAAACAAACAAGTTTGGCATTGCCGCCGGGCTGGGGAACGCATCCCAAAAGAAGAGTGTGTGTCTGTGGACAGAAGGGGACGGACACGCATGTAATCAATTTTTATATTTTAGAAGAATCCCCCCAAGTGAGGCAGGTGCAGCTCGGCGGCCAGCTCTATTATAATTGGATTACCCGTTGGAGACGAGGGAAGCGATAAACTGAATGTTCTCGCATTCTCCTACTCAGCGAAAAGTGGTCTAAACTGGTCTGACCAACTGCTGATTGTCTGGGGGGTCCTGGCCAACTCCCAGGCTTATTCTCCGACTTCTAGGCTCCTTTCTGCTCTGCACCATTGCACCCTTTTAAAAGGAGTATTTTTATGAAGAAAGTTAAAAGAAGTTGGAGAAGGCCAAAGCTCATTAAAGTGTAGCAAATTCCTTACGCTTAATTGTAGTAAGTATTTGTTGTTTACTTAGTTAGAACAGAATAAAGAATAGAAAAACTGGTGTTTGAGTGTAGGTACTTAGAAAAATAAATTTAATTCGACTTTTAATTTCTTTCTTAGTTTTCTTTGTTTTACATTTCAGATTTTATAAATTTGTTTGAATTGTTTGATTTTCAATCACAAGTGGGCTGTGCTTCAACTGGTCGAAATGTTTTCGTTTCTGTCGACGACGTGTCGTCCCATTTATTGCCTTTTGTATGCCTCAGGAAAAGATGATAATGCCACGAACCAGTGCATTCGTCTGCTCTTCAGCTTCCTATTGGGAATGCTTTTGGCCTTTCTCCTGTGGAAGCTGGTAGCGCTGAATTTTAATGTGAGTATTTTCGCCTTCGATTCCACCAACTTGTCAGTGTTCATGGGCTTCATCCTGATAACTGGAATGTTCTTCATGCTGTGTTGTCCTGTTCGCACGATAATTATGCTGATGTTTGTGGCTTTGGTGGGAAGATCTGGAACAACTTATCTGCGCGCAGTTGCATTTTCCTTTATCATTTCTGGTCCCATTGACAATTTGGTGCAGAATGCTGGCGAGGTGGCAAGGGTCTTTGTCTGCACCACAGTGTTGACCTACAACCTATCCAAAACGCGCTTTGATCTGATGGCCAAACCATTTACAAACACTCTGAAAAACATGGGAGGTGATGTGGAGGAAATTCGCCAGACCTTCGATGAATTGCACAGTGTCCTTAGTGACTTAAAATATGCTGTAGAACATTCGGACATTGAAGATGAGAAATATGGAGACAAGAATACCAAATCTCTCTACGAAAGGTGGAGCAGAGAAACTCATAAGATGAATATAAGTAAACCCAAAACGGGTGGCAAGGAGTTACCAACAGCTGCCGAGGTTCAGGAGCGTTTTCTGCGGAACATGAGAAACCGATGCAAACATCAGCTGAGAAGTGGCCATCGCGTTTGCCAGGAGGTTTTTCGGAAGGGCTATCGAAAGTGTACCACCAATTTTCCCTCGCTTATTGGCAAAGCCATTTGTTGGCCCTATCGAGTGGACATAATCTGCGAACTGGATCTGTTTGGAAATCCTGATAAGATATGTGATCCTACCAATGTGGTTCCCCGTAACTTTGGAGACACCTACGTGGAACTACTGAAAGCCGAGCAGCAGCTCTTTGACAACAGCTCACAAATAGAAGTCAGCTACCAGCTGAAGGACGAAGAACTGGTCAAAAGCCAAATGAAGTCTGCTCAAAGGACAACGCAGGCTTTCACCGAGGACTTTGAACGGCGACGACGTACATTCAACAAAGTCATGGGTTTTCTGAGAAAAATTCTTTGTTTGTTTATTCTGCGAATGATATATTTATCTATTAGGTATTATGTGAAGTATCTCATCGACGTGGAGTTCGACAACTTCTATATAACCGATTATTTTAAGCATGTGGATAGAAGGCAAAAGGAAATGCGAAATGAGTCAGTTTTGCCACTACATACCTATGAAAAATCGAAGTACATAGATCTAGATAAAATATTTAGTAGAACTCACTACGAGACCCGCACTGTATTATTTTCGTTACTACAGTTGTTTCTGGAAATGGTTACGGCTGGAATATTTATATCGATAGACCTTATGGTTGTGGAATTGCTGCAGATTATTCGTATAAGATCCATGATCACTTATCACCAGGAAGGCGAGCACGAAGTGCGCTTTAATGTAAGTGAGATACCATTAGAACGAGGATTTAAATTATAAACTATTTTATAATCTATATTTACAGATCAGTGGCGTGGGTCAAATGGCCAGACTGCTGCGGACTACTATGCACAACTTCAATATCCACGAAAGGGTTTCAACTTCGTTGACCAACGAGGAATGTTTGCCAAATGCCCATGTCCTGCCCAGAAAATTCTACTATCAGCTTTTATTTTTGTACGTGGTAATTGTGCTGCTGATTTATCAGAGTACCACTTTCCTACGAATGAGGAGAGTGATATGCAGCTTCTTTTACTACAAGCGGGAAAAGCAGCGTATCCTTTTTCTGTACAATCGCATCCTAAGGAATCGGCTTAGTTCGATGGAGTTTTTAATTCGCGATGCCGAAGATAACTTGGCCACTTATCGCATCCAGCAGCAGATCAACATGTGTTTGTGGCTACGTCTTTCATGTCCCCGTGCTTTTGGTTGGTTACGTTACTTTAAATGTGCCAAAAGAAGCTGCCTGGTCTGCCGAGGATTCGAGGACTCTACCTTCTCCTACTGCATCTCCTGTGGAGTGCCTTATTGCGATGATTGCGCCGAGGACCTCAATAGTGTGTGCATTCAGTGTGGCACTGTCCTTACAAGAATGGTAGATCCATCCGAAAGCAGCTCCGAGGTATACACCTACAGAAAGAAAAAATAATGCGGAAAACTATTTAAGCTTTGCTTTCTCATCTAAATATATACTCTTTCATTTCTGGAATTATTCCTTATTTCAGTTACATGCCAATCTATCTGTCCTTTCTTAACTTTATTTAATATTAATAAACTCATATATCCTTTTTTGGAAAGCAATTCTATATGCCTTTAAGCTAGTAGCTGCCATCATTGCCAAAGAAAGCCTTTTGGTAAAGCCAGGTTAAATGGCCAGCCCTTCTGGTACATGAAACTCGTAAAGGCTTTTAATGACATTACAAAAGTTTTTCTTGTATGTGCCGAAAGCATTTCCAAAGTTTTCCTTTTGAATTGGAAACGCTCCTGCCACTCGGGAAATACTTTGCAATCAACCTCCAAGATCTCGGTCCCTTAATCCCACTTGCACTACCCTTTATTAACTGTCCTTCTGTATGATAATCATATCTGCAACCTAATTGCCATTTTTCCAGTCTGTCAAACTTAATTCTCAACATTTTACCCAACCACTCCACTCCCACCAAACTATTTCCTCGGCCGATGGCACTGTCTGCCGGTTGTCTACTGCAAGTTGGGGAAACATTTCTTTGCGGCAACAAACATCGCTCAATTAGTTGTCCACCCTTTTGTCTGGGCCACCCTAAACTCCCGCCATCTGCTCGAGCATAATTATGCACATGTCTGGTGGAGCTGGAAAAACTTTTTGTCCTTAGACAAACTTTGCTCAAGCGGCGCTGATTCGATTATGCCACTGGAAAGCGAGCTGCTGCAGAATTTCAGCACTACGAACTACAATCGGCTGCAAGGATTAAGTTACAAAATTGTTAATTAAAAATAATAAAAACGCTAATTGAAGAAATGCCTACAGTAGTGAAGAAACTCCTTTTCAGCAAACTGAAAACGGAACAAAAGTTTTTCGGTTGAAAGTTGTCTAGACTTGGGGATCAGCCAAGATGACGCTGGAAATGAGTTTGGGGGGACGTCGTGAAAACGCTTTCGGGCACTTTCCTCGGCGTTTTCTGGCTGGGATGAAACAGTTGCAACAATGATGACGACAAAGTCTCGCCACCGCCCTGCTTCAGTTTTAATATTCATAAGGCTTTTGGCCCCAGCGTCTGCTCGCAATAAAATAATTATGCAAACATGGGATGGCATGCGGGTGAAAGAACCACAAACCGAAGGGAGCTGCGTCTTTCCATTGAAATTTCACACATTTACCCGGAAAAAAGACACCGAAAAAATGCGCAAAATTTTCTTACGAAAAACAAACACTGCGGCGGAGGTGGAATCCACACATTCAGACACTAGACGACTGGTCGGCATGTCGTGTGCAAGGGTGATTATTTGACGTTCACACCTTGTTGCAATGACTCCCCCTTCTCCACAAAAATAATGGGGCGAGGTCGTCGACGCTTGGCGGCGGTTGTTGTGATCAGCCACAGAAGTGACAGGTGTGACACTCCGGCTGACAGCGAAGGTACTCCCAGAACTCCACTCCGGTCCTCGCCATCCAACTCCGACATCTGCCCAGACTGTAAAGACTATGAAGACGCAACTAGACGAGACCAGACCAGACCAGAGTGGTGGGCTCTAAAAAGCTGAAAAAACGGAGGAGAATTATTTCCTAGAAAACTGCAGACGGACGGTTGAACAAGCAGTGTAAAGACCAGCAAACATAAAAAAATGAGCGAAAAATGGAGCTGAGAATGCAGCATAGACCAAGGAATACTCTTTCAAAAAATATTTGTATATCTATTGCTTTTTATTTAGTATATCATAGCTAGAGGTATAGGAAAACACTTTCTTTAATCGCTTTGGATCTATGCCTAAAAATCTGTGTTCGTTTCGCAATTAAATTATAAATTTGAATCGAAATCATCAATATTTTGCCAGTATTAATTTAAACTAATATATACAAGCACAAAATACTTCTCTAGTCATTTGCATACATTTTTCGTTATTGAAGAACAATATTAACATTGCTTAGACAAACAGTCACAGATGTGTCATATTGATTACTGAATTCGTTATTTCATTTCATGCAGCCTTGCTTAAAATACAAATTTAATATAAACGTAGATAATCGGCTAAACCAAACAAAGTAGTTTGCTCAAATGGAATAGCTTTTCCAACCAACCTGCGGAAGTGTATCGCCGAGTATCACAGTCTAAACGAAAATGGCCAAGTGCTGAAAAATAATCGGGCTGAGTCCCTCAACTGCCTTTATTATCACGGGCTCAACTTGGCGATGATAATGAAGGAAGCACAACGATGGGCCACGGATGGTTGGATGCTCGCTGGTCAGTGCATTGTTTCCTTCTTTATTTTTTTTGTGCTGAGCTGTTCCAGCGGTTTGGCTGCAATTTGCGAGTCCCAGAGACTCCGATTTAGAAGCGGAGAGTGAACTATTTAGCAAAGGGAGCCAGGGGATCCGTTCCATCCGCTCGCCAAGCAGCAGGTGGTAAAGCGTAGAGAAATATGGTGCGGAACATTTCAATTAGAAAAAGCGGCAAAACGGCAGACTGAAGAAACCTCGGACCGACAGCCTGTCGTCGCCCCCAATCAGTTGGCTCCCCAGCCATCCCACATCCCGTCTCCTCCTCGAAGTCTCCATCCCAGTTCCCAGTTCCCAGTTCCATGGAATATTCCCCGCCTTTGAAGTTGTGCTCGCCTGACACTGACGAACCGAGACTGGCTTGATATTCCACCCTCCCCCCGCCAATCTGCATTGCCTGCTATTATTTCAATAAAAATTCTTTAATATTATTTTAAGTTTGCCACGGCGGGTTAGTTTGTGCCTGCTCCACCCATTCGCCATTGTGCTCGTATTTAATCTTTATAATTAAAATTTTAGCAAAAACAGAAAAAATCCAACTCAAGTGGGAAGCCCTGGGTGCGAAGAAGCACAAACGTGTTAAAAATTGATTAAAGTAATTGATTTGAAAGGGCTGGCGGTGAGGTGCCCTGGGATTTTGCGGATTATTCTTTACCATTCTCCACCTTCTTGAGTTTTTTATCCCTTTGTTATATTCGCTGTGGACAGCCGACTCAATTAAAGCAGCGAACAGTGTTTGCCTTTGTTTATATACCATTTACATTCGATTTTATTCAGCAGGTGGGATAAAATAGCAAAGTGATGTGATAATAAATGTGGTTAGGAATTGATAAAAAAAAATTGATTGCAATAACCAATTTATAAAAATATTTGAAGGCTATCTTAAGCAAAACATTTTGTGGAAACAAATTAATCTTCAAACTATAGAAAATTATATATTTTAGTATATTCTAACAACAACATATTTTTTTTCTGCCAAGCCTAAACCTTTTCAAGGTGAGTTCTATGAGCATGGAATGTGATAACCAGCTATCTTTTTGATCTCTTATTTTTCTCACACACCGAATCGCTAATTGGATTCCGCAAATAGCAAAACTCGAGTGTGGAAATCATATGGCAGCCACAATGAAATCTCAGCTTTGTCAAGTCAAACTTCAAACACCAGAGTAAATTTTCACACAGAGTGAAAAGGAGTTGGCGAATGGAACCCACTGCACCACAAATCTTTCACTCGGTTTTATTCACCCACTTCTTTTTTCTTCTTTTTTGTATTTTGTTTACTTTTTCGCCATGAAACAGGGGAACGAAAAAATGAAACTCCTCTGTGCGTGTTGAACTCAGACTTTTGTGCCAAAGATTTTCGGGATGGGGGAAGTTAAGGGGTTTGTTGGCTCAGCTCAGCTCAGCTAACGCCTTTTCGGTCTTTCACAGCCAAAGCGCGAAAGAGTTAAAAGGCGAAGCGCAGAAAGCAGCAGCAAAAGCATCGGAGCACCAAAGCATTTTCACCCTATTATTTCAAGCAATTTCATCAAAACTAGACTGGGGCCCGGCCTCTGCTCCAAATTGTAACCGCAAAACCTCCCAGTCCAGCTGCCCAGTTGCCCCAATGGAAGCGTTTGTCCGCTGGAGATGAGTTCGTGAGTCACGAAAAAGTAAGCGATGTCATATATTAAAAAAAAATATAAATGATAATATAATTTTAAACCCTTCTTAATTTATAATATCCTCTATTCAAAAAATTATGATCAAATAATTAAGCTGTTTAAATTTAAAACTTTTGTGCTCTTAGATTTTCAAAATTGTAAGATATCTTCTTGGTTTTTGATAACTCAAATCATTCTGGAATGCCAGATGGCATTTTGTTACCATCTCTAGTCATCTGCGGTTTTGTAGCTTTGTTTTGCGCCGCTTTTTGTCCACTTCTTTTGGCTTTTACCCCGCCCCTCCATCATTCTCCTGGCTCTTCTGCCATCGAGTTGTTGGGTCGCTCTCAATAGAAGGCAGACAGGAGCAGGTTTTTCTTTTTTTCCTCCTTCCCAAATGGCCAGCAAACGGACTGTCGACTGTGCCGGCTGTGTTTTTCTTATTTGGTTTCCACTTTTATGTAGATTGGTATTTATTTTCCACGCGAAAACTAGCGAAAAACGGGCAAAAACCTGGGCCAGGGAAGCGGCAGCAGTTCTCACACTATGGGCTTGGTATGGGGTCCGGGGTTCGGGGATCGGTCTCTGGGCCTGTGGTTCCTTAACTCCCCTCATCGCTCTTATTATCGCGTCAAGCGGGAAACACACAAAACAAAAAAGCGGCCACAGCACCAAGAAAGAAGTGAGTGCAACTATTTTGCGGTCTGCTGCCTGACAAATGGCAGCCAACGCCATCGGAGCATTTAGCCAAAGTCCAACTGCGACTCCAGCTAAGAGTCCGAGTTGCAGGTCTCCGCGGCTGTCGGAAGTAGCGCAGCAAACTGCCGCCACTGACCGCCCCTGGGGATCTGGATTTAATGTAGGCTCAGTCTCAGGCTACGTCAGCTATACTTCCATTTACTCTTTCCTTTGAATTGGGTTACCAATTTATCAAGACCAGAGATCCATTAAGGATTTCAGTGTCATTAAGGAGGAGGACTTCATTTTTCGGTGGGCTTATAATACATTACCTACAAAATATTTGTATCAATATCATTGTTTACCTTTATTTATATTTAACGATTTCACTACAATTAAGAAAATATTTCTGAAAGAAGTCCAATCATTTATTATTTAGCTAGAATTAGAAGACAATTCTATGATTAAATTTATGTATTACTTAAAGATAATGCTTTTCGAAAGAG